GTTTTAAATTGAAATAATTAGATATATTTTTAAATAAAATGTTCAAAATAAAGTTTGCGAGACCTCTTCTGAGGAACAAGAGGCACACCGATTCGACTTGCTCCAGGGCACTGAATATGTAGCTACGCCACTGCTTTGAATGCCATGTTAAATGCTCATTTATTCTTTACATTAGTCTTTTATATTAATTTCTTATTGTATTTGGTATTAAACACTATATTTATTCTCTATAAAATGTGTTTTTGGAGTGTATAGAACGAATTAATTGGATTTACATTGATTCATATGGAAATAATTGCCTTGGTTTTCATTGGTTTCGGATTTCGCCGATTGTTTTCAGAAGGATTATTGACGAAAACGAAGGTATCACTGTATAACTATTATATGATGACAAATAAATCTAAACTAGACAAATAAATTCTTTACACAAACTTCCGTACAAAATATTTGCTTGGATAATATGCAAATGTGCATTTGTCAAAAATGTATTGTTCTTAACTCGTAATCACATAGTTTTTTTTACATGATTGGATGCATAAGACAGCAATTTTTTACTGATTTTTTGCAAATAATTATGCTGTGTATAATTGCCTCAAATTTGATGTTTTTTTAATCTGTCTTCTCTGCATGTGTCAAATTTTAATATAATATATTGTTCTGTAAACAAAACACTACCTCATAAACAATGTCCTTGATTGGGCTCTTGTAGGGTGCCCTTGAAACTTTGTGATAGTGTGGGTTATTGTGAAATGAGTTGACTGGAAATAAATGACAAGAGTGTTGAGATGTTTCTTGGAAAGATCAGAAAATGATTTGTATTTTTCGGGCACAAAATAAAGCTGCAAAAACATTAAATTATTGAAGGTCATAGTGCTCCAGGCTATAATACAGAGACAAGCATTCAAGGTTGTAGGAACTTGAAGACTCTCATTTCATTATATCGTGCATAGCTGAGAAACATCTATGACATCATGACTACCTCTTGCAACAATTGTGTAAGTGTGAGGCTCCAGAAATGTCCCAGAACCACACTAAAATTTAAAAATCAATAAATTTGTTAATATTATAAAACAAAAATTTTTGTGTCCATTAAAAGAAATATTAAATTTAATAGTAAAAAAAAAAACATCTTTTCTCAGAAATTATACTAGAGGTTACTAAAGTGGTCGATATAATATTATTGGGGGGGTCAATTGGGAGTCGATGGAAAAATTGAAACTAAAAGTCACAAATATAACTATACGTATTATTATATTGCTTCAATGAATTTGATAGTACAGCTACCCGTCAATGTTTAGAATGGCTATGAATCAAGTCGCACAGGTCGGACAGAAATTGTCAAATCCGTGCTCCGGTTCATGAACTGCAAAATCATAAGAACTGCATTTTTTTATTTAGCGGACTTAATTGTAAAATTCAATGATGTTCAAACAAGGCTCCAGGTAAAGATGCAATTATTCAGGCTCAGACAGTTCTTTTAGGCTTCCAGGTTAAATTAAATTTGCTTAAGTCTTCATTGTTATGTAAAGAGATTTTCAGTACTTTCCAAGTCTAGGACAATTTCAAATAAAAAAATGAAGACTTGGAAATATATACAAATCATCTTCAAAAATTGAGTGGTGATTTTAAAATGTGTTTTGTAGATTTAGAAAATATTGATATCCCAGAATGGATTATGGCACCATTTTCCGCTCAAATTGAAAACAAGCTTGCAAAATGAACTTATTGAACTACTATCTGACATTGAAGCAAAAATGCTTTTTAAAAATTTAACTTTGAGCGATTTCTGGATGAATATAACTAGAGCGGGCTTATAAGTATTTACTAACGATTCCTCCAACTTCCATCAAACCTAAACGCGTTTTCTCAGCAGCTGCATATATGTGCAGCAAATTGAGAATCAGACTTGGTGATGAGACACTGGATGCGTTGTTATTTCTCAGATCATATTTTCGCAGTTCAAATTAGAATGTTCCTATTAGATTAGTTTTCTTGATATTTAAGAAAAATGTGACTGATTAATATTATTTTTAAATACTTTATGCTAAGAAACTTACTTTACCTACTTACTAGGTTGATATACGAAAGTACAGTAGAGCGTCGATTATCTGAATCAATTGGGGACTGGGGTTGTTCGGAAGATCGATGTTTCGGATAACCGATTATGTACGAAAAAATATATTAACCTATCCCATCTTGACATTTTTCTCCGTTGCGTGTCGCTTCGCGTTGAATTTTCGTCGATGTTAAGCCTAACGAATACTATTGTATCATTAAAAATTATTTTTTTATTTTGTACAATAAATATATTGAAAAATTTTAAACAATAAAAAATTATACTTCAGAAGTTAATTTAGGATCAAAAACATAAAATATTTGAGTAGTCCAAGACATAGCCAAAGATTGCAGCGCCACAGCACTGGCGAAAATTTAAATTTGCCGACTGGAATTCTTTCGGATGATTGACTTTCGGATAATTGACGCTCTACTGTAGTCTATTTAGTCGATGTTAAGAGAGATTTTTGTTAATTTTCAACGTTTATTTGCATAGTTTGTTACATAAAGGTTTTTTCAATTTATGTGAGTTTAAAGAGATCTCAGTGATGCTTAAAAAACAATAAATTTAACATGAAGACTGAGTGATTTTAAGTCTGGTTAGTCTGACTCTAAGTCTGATTAGTTAGAGTGATTAAATTAGCTAGGTGTATACGGTAAAATACGTTGATTTTTGTCTAAATTTTGATTTGTTGATTTCTGTAAGACTTTCTTATTTTTTATTAACCCTCAATACCGAAATAATCCCGGGATTGACTAAGTATAATCCCGAAATCCCGGGATTAGAAATAAGGACCGGGATCAAATTCCCTAATTGGCACCTATCTCCCATTCTGACATTAAGTGCAACTCGGCGACCTCACATAAGGCCTCTGTGATGTCATTTTTGATGACATCAGAGCAGGAAATCACCATCTTATGCATGTGATTGTGTGACAATAAAGAAAAATTGTATGCAATTGCATGTGTAATGTAGTGATTTTTTGAGGGCCTGCAATAAGCAGAAAAAATTTTATCAAAGGAAATTTTTACACAGATGGATAGCATGTAACATAAGTAACATTGTAAAAACAGCTAAGTAAGTTGATTTGGTAAAAAATGCCCATGAAAAAACTAATAAGGTACAGAAAATTACCACTACCTCCTGATCACAGGTTAAATAGGAACACTTTCATGCTATGTTATTTGTTTCTAAACTTCAAAAATAGATTTCCAGATGTTACTCAATAGCAAAATAAAGTACCCAATAAGAATTATGTTATCTGAGATTTTTGTATTGTAATAGTATCAATAAACTATTTTTGTTTTCTGTTTATCTTAAAAGCAAGATAAGCAATGACCTGATACCTTTGAAACTAAATTTAATCTTCAATAAAGACAAGTATCTACATTATTATTTATCACTAAGCAACAGAAATTAAAAACTTACTGCTACATTTGAAATCAGTAAGTTATTACGATATAAAACACATCTCCTTGGTGTTTTTATGTTCTCATGTCCATCAGGGAAAACTAAATTCTAAGGACAAAAATTAGTTTTTTTAGAAAATTCATTATTCTCAATATTAGATTGTCAACCTCTCCTAAATAATGAATGGTAATTATGAGCAGGTTATCACCAATATTCAATTTATTACAGAATTTTGACTGCAAGAAACAATTGTCTAGTTTTTTTCATTTGTAAGTTTGAAAATTGGATGTTTTGTGAGTGACTATTGCTTTGAAATGTTATAGAAAATCAAGAGTCGCAGCAGTGACTCCAAGTAAAAAGTCTCTGACTGACTATATATACAGGAATTGACCTCCAATTTTCGGGGGTCAATTTCGCCATCCCCAAACACCTGAAGTAATTCTGAATATATCATTCGAAAGAAAATTGTTTTATTAGGTAGTGTGCAAAATTTGAAGATTTTCTATAAAGCAGTGGCCAAAATAAAAGCAATTGAAAGTGCAAAAATTGCCAAAAAAGCTGCATTTTCTCCTCCTCCTTCATCCAACACTGCAGAAGCTCTTAGAGAAAAACTACTGGGTCTACAAAGCTCAAATTTTAAACTTAAGCCTTCCTCATTATCAGAGAGGTGCTCGTGAAACTTCTAAGTCAATAGGTCAAACTTCACAGGGATTTCTTGTATAGCTAATTCAGTTTTATGGCTTAATTTTGTGCTTATAAAGATAAAATTACATGAAAACAGATGAATTTTATTCAAAATGTTACCCAGAATTACAAAAGCTCAAATGTATGCAAATTAAAACTTTCATGACACTTTTTCTAAATGGCATATTGAAAGTGTCAGTCGGTGGCACGTTTGATTGGCATTGCGTTTGGTCAGCGCCAACTGATCTTGATGTAATAATACAATTATTAAACAAAAACATCTGAGTTGTAAAAAAAATTTTGCCAAGTAAAAATTTATGACAATTTAGACAATTGTAAAATTTTTCTTAGTTTTTCTTTAGTAAAGATAAGCTTGCTGCTTGGAAGTTCCCACTAGATTTTTACCTGTATTGATCTTACATTTTGCCTTTAAGTTCATTGCTAAGAAAAATTTGACCACTGTCTAAATTGCCATAAATTTTTACTTGGCGAAATTTTTTTATGTCTCACAAGTCAAATGTTTTTGTTTGGATTTGAATTACAATAATTAGAGAAGTTAACAATCACTTGATTTTTGAAAATAGGATATAATATAGAAACACTCACAAGCAAACTTCTAATTTGCGTTTCTCTAAGTTATTGGCTCCTTTAAAGACTTGGAATGTACTTAGTTTCACACCTTCCTTATGTCTTTCAGCAATATTTTATTAAAAACAAATATTTTCAGCCTTACATATTGCTGGAAAATATAGGGATGATGTGAAATTAATTATTGTTAAGTTTCAGCTTTGAACGACACATCACTTACGATATTCATAAAAGAATAAAATAATCAAAGTATTTCTTTTAGGACACGGTCATATTGAAGAACACTCCATCCATCAACAGGTTGTTGTGGGAAATAAAACATGTAGTTCGCATCGTTCCCATCACTTTTCCAAATGGCCTTCCCAAGGAAGGTGATTACACCGGCACTTATCTGAAAAGGAACGGAGAATTCATCATTTCGCCAAAATTGAAAGTAGATCCTCAGCTCTTACTGGTGGATCCCGAAAAAGAAAAGAAAAAACTGGATGGTAAAACGATTCTAAGTGAATGTAGGAGGAATTGGGCCATCTGAAATAAAACGTTAAAAACTCATATTTAAGATCAAATACTAGAATCTGTCTTTGAGAAATTTCTCATCTCTGAAAAACAGCCGTTTATGATTATTTGTTTTTAGATAAATAAAATATGTAATAAGAAATATACAGATTTATAAAATTATTATGTATAAACTGACATTCAGGCTGATAATTAATAATACAAAAACAATTGTTTGCCACAATGTAAATAGAACATGTGTAGTATGGAGTTGTAACCCAACTCCATACTACACGTTCGATATGGTGGACCAGAAATCAGTTAACCAATCTATATTTTGACCGGTTGAAACAGCTGCATGTTGCAACTATTGAGAAATGTAATGCTGAATAGTAAAACACTCCAAAAATCCTTAAAAATTGCATTAACCAAATAGTTTTAATGCAATTTTTTAGATCTTTTAGAGTTTCTTAGTCACTTTACTAGAAAAACTGAATTATAACAACCCAGTTATAATGTGCCAGTACACATCAAACAGTGCATTGTGGTTCACTGACGTGTTTCGATATTCACCGATCGATGTACAGTACATTGTACTCATCGGGCCACGGATGTGGCTACCTCCGTGGTTACACAATTAACACCATTTTTATTATTCGTCTTTATTAACCCAAGATTATTTTGACAAAATAAGTCTGCAAATGCCAATATACTCAAATTTTTGTTTTAAATTCCACGACTTTCTCTGACCCTTGTGTATGGCACATTGACAAAGAAAAACATTTACTATTCACATATGTATAGCTTCTTCAACTTTTTAATTAGTTATTTTTTCTAATTAACAGTTACATGTTTTTTATAATTGCTGAATTATTAAAACTAAAATGTTTTATTAAATTAGTTTATCCTGTTAGTAATCCACAATCAAATTTATATGACTGAAAAAAGAAATAAAAGCCATTATTTATTATTCATTAACAAATCCTGTGTAATCCACATATAAAAGTATACGGGTATCCCTTGATTAACATAGTTAATTAAAATCAGCACATAAAATCAAGTTAGTTTCAGGTAGCAGGTAATTTCCTATAAGCAATAAAATGTTCTTAAAATTGTCAGGCAGAATATAAGACACTATTAGTTGGATATTGGTGAAGTTTTCAGTGTCTAATTGTAGAATCAAAACAAATATATGAATAATAAACATTTTTGTAACTTTTTCTGGGTTCTTCGGGTTTACTAAATTTGAAAAATAAGCTGGATCTTCCAGAATCATTCATAAATATAAATTTGAACATTAAGATGGACTTTGAGTAAAGCGTACTTATGTGCATGCACTCTCCGTGTCAACTTTATATACAATGGAACACTAAATATCATTGAGAATTTTTAGAAGGGTCTAAAAATATGTTTGATTTCCCACATAAATGCAAGAAAGGCATCTAAAATAGTACAGTAGAAGCCAAGTTCTTTGGGTAATCCTTAACCCTTTCCCTCTCCCCCACGGTGGGAATTTCAAAAAATTACTTCTTAATGTGCATTCTCATGATGTATCCCAACTGTGTACCAAATTTCAACTTTCAACTCCTAACTGTTTGGGTTCTGCACTTATTATCATTATCAACCCATCTCAATTATATTATAAGATAAGGAAGGCAGTTAAGTATCTCAGAATGGATAGATTGTTCAAGTGTTACATTGCCTTCTCCCATCAATCTGGCAAGGAGGTATACTTCCCAGGAAGCCTTTCTATAAGAAACTGACCCTATTTAGATGTAAGTAAAGAAAACCTGGAAACTCCATCCTGTTGGCAAGATGCAAACCTGTGACCAACTACTGGTGTTTTATTCACTCGGCTATTGATGGGCTAAGCACATAACGAAGCCGGTATGAACTATTGGGGCCCAGACCCAGCTTGTGTTTTAAAATTTCGAGTAATTTCAAAAAATAATGTTTTAATGTGTGCTGGCCACTAGTTTGGTTTGCCCTCTCTATTGACTCAGGATGCTCCAATTGCAAAGAAAACAATACTCAAGATACGTCAAACAAGAATTCCTTTAATTTTTTACACAAAGTCTAAAACAGTGTTTCTCAACCTCTAACGAATCGTTGCCCCCTTCACTTCAAAATTCCGATGCCGAGGACCAAGACTAACGCCAACTTCGTACTGCATTGAATAGACTAGTGACTAGTATAATATTATTTGTTTAATTATTGTATGATATAACGAATAAAATATCTAATTATTCTTAATATAATGTTTTACTATATCGCCCAGAAAATTGTTTTTCACCCCCCAAAATATAAATTGTTACTAATCACCCCCTCAACATAGAAAAACGCCCACATGGGGGCGATATCGCCCCCGTTGAGAAACACTGTTCTAAAAGATACATTAACAAAGCTAGGACTTCACTGGCCATACGGTCGATCTCGTCCTCGTCCGCTTGCAAGATCCAAAAGGTGGTGTTACAAACTCTTTCTCCATTCTTTTAACAAGCATCTAGCCTCCAAGCAAGCATTAGTTCTAAATTATGCCGCTACGGTGAACACCACCAATGGCAAGAACTGGATTTGTGTCAGTTTCGTTTTTGGTTGGCAGTGACAAAATACAGGGTGTATCTAAATTGGTATCCATAAATGTAGAGATGTGTTCCTGACACCGAAACATTACAAAAAGTTCATATGAATTTGGGTCTGAAAATCCTTTATTAGAGAGTTACGAAAGGAATTCCCTGTAATGACCCCTGATTATGTAAATCCCTTCAAACTTGCATTTATATCCACTTTCTTCTTTACAGTTGGTCATGGAATTTGTTTTGTTTTGCTTGATTGTCTTCATTTTTTTCTGTTTTGTGTTATTAAGAGTAACTTCCATAACATTACCAGATGATGTACAGTACTACCTACTGTCAATGTTCTGAGGGAATGTATCCAAAATGGTTTGATCAAATTTGAAACACTCCAGGAACTTTCAACAGAGTACTGCAAAGCATGGCATGCAGGCTTGGGATGCATCAAAGCAGGAGGAAGTCACTTTGAGCAACTTTTGTAAATCTATGTTGTTAAATGCCTCACGTGTACCATTAACAATAACCCTATAACTTCCTAACAAAGGATTTTCAGACCATGTTCCTATGAACTTTTTGTAATGTTTCGGTGTCAGGAACACATCTCTACATTTATGGACACCAATTTAGATACATCCCGTATTTTGTTGATATGCAGTGGATTGTCCGTCGTATGAAATGTGGCGAGTATAATTTGAAATATAATCGTAAGCAAAGTTTAAATAGACCTATTAATGCTAAGCATATAAAGGACTACAACAGGAATGATAAAGATATTAAATTATTTATAGTTTGTGTTCGGGTAAATATAAAAAAGAAGAAATATTGTCACACTTCGGCAAGATAACATATTACATATTTATATAAAAACTTTTTCCTAGGAAACTAATGAATAACGATAAATGTATACTTGAATTGTTAACTTCTGTAATTTATATATTTGGAATTTGATGGTATTAAAATTTAATTATTTGTACTACTAATTTGATTTGGTATTTTCTTATATATTTAACTAGATTTTTTGTAGTAATTTGTTTTCTACTAATATTATTTTATCTTCAGTCTCAAATCTTATATTATTTCAATGGAAATCATGAATATAGAGGTTAAGTTCTAATGGGATGGAAGAATGCTAAGTAGTAGTAAAATAGCTAAAGTGATCAGACATACTGATTTTAGAGATTGTGTTCTGATTTCAAATATGTACTGAATTATATTACAGTAGAGCGTCGTTTATCCGAAAGCTGGTTATCCGAAACGTCCGTTATCCAAAAGCATTCCAGTTGGCAAATTTAAATTTTCGCTAGTGCTGTGGCACTGCAATCTTCGGCTATTTCTCGGGCTACTCAAATATTTTACATTTTTTATACTAAATTAACATCTGAAGTATAATTTTTTATTGTTTTTATATTTTTTAATAAATTTATTTTGTTTGTACAAAATAAAAAAATAATTTTTAACGATACAATAGTCTTCGTTAGGCTTAACATCGATGAAAATTCAACACAAAGCGACACGCAACGGAGAGAAATTTCAACATGGGATAAATTAATATATTTTTTCGTACATGATTCGTTATCCGAACCACCCCAGTCCCCAATTGATTTGGATAAACGACGCTCTACTGTATTAAGAATTTATTAAGAAAACAATTTCAAATAGTTTCCCCTATCAAACATTAAGTCCCCTCCACCTATAATTGCTGTTAGTGAGAGGAGATTTTAATCTTAAACTCTATCTTTTCTCTATAACTATCCTTAGTCTCCTTTCCAAAATAATGTTATCTAGGCAATATTATGGTTATGTATGTCATGCGAGTAATGAATTTTTAATTATTGCAAACAATAATGTTTTTTTAAGCTATATACTTATGCATATTACAGAACGTTCAATTACTAATGATAATAATAGCACTTCTCTCATTGGGAGAATATCAAATTTTAAGTCTCCCTGTTTTATTTTACATAATCTTACAGCATTTTTAAGCAAGGTGGACACCTCGCTTATCCATAAATTTAGCTAATAATTTCAAACAAAACATTTATAATTTATAATTATGAACAGAAAACACAAGTATTGTACCGGTATATCACAAATTGTACTGTTTAAACTTTGTCCATGTGTATATTTTAAACCACACAACATTCCATTTTATTTAATATATAACGAGTTCAACAATGTAGATAATTAATGATAAAGTGAAATAGTACGTTTATCATACTGTCTACTTGGACACGACTTATTATTAGGACCTTATACTGGTGTTTTTGGATATTGACACAGGAAAAATTACTACAGGTGATGTAATAAAGAAATTTTGTTTTTCTGATTCATATCTCATCTTTGTGTCAATATCTAAAAACAACAGTATAAGGTCCTAATAATAAGTTGTGTCCGAGTAGACAATTAATGATAATTAGAATTAAGGACTAAGGCAACTATACATACTATTTCACTCTTCGGATTGGGCAAAAGGCTGATGTTGCATATGAAAATCATTTATAAGTAATTAAAAATTTTCATGCTAAATCTGAAATTTTCCATTTTGAAGTATTTTTTGGTGTTCGTTACTCGAAGTTTATCCTCGACCGAAATTTTTGAGCCTTAAGAAAATTCATTCCAAAGTCGTCATCATAAATAATTTTAACATTTTTGAATGTCAAAAAGTCCGTTAATTTCTGTTTATGCTAAAAATGAAAATAATCATTTGTGGCACTGACGTCAATTTTATTTCTATTAATTGACAACATATTGCATCAAGTTTATAATTGCATATGCTATCCTATGATGACAACATGTGCTTAAATTAAAATGTTCTTTTAATCTGAAATATTTTTATGTTAAGTTACAATTTTAGTATTGTATGGTAAGCCTATTTAATTATATTACATATGTAAGATGCCAACTTTTAGGGGCAATAAGTTTATTGCGTGTCAGAAAAGCCTAGGGACTGATCGTATGTGGGTGGTAGTGGCGAGGCAAAAACGGCAAGGGTCTTACAAAAACCATTTATTTTAACATTAAAATTAACTTACGTAATATCAGAATGATGATGCGATCTACGTCGACTTGTGTTGGGGAAGTTCCAGATGTCGGATGTTGAACAAGGTTTAGTAACACTTGAGATGGCTCCGGGGAACTAGTGGACGTGGATCCGTAGGACGAATGGGGAGACTCTGTCGGGTGATGCAGAGGGACGGACTGGGTTCCTCTGCATCACCCTGGGTCACTTACGAGCACACTTGGCTGGAGGAGAACTCCCTTTTCTTTGAGATTCTGAAATTTTATATGATTTCCCCTAGAGTTTTCCCGTTTTGATTGGTCCTGTGTCCCTTCTCCCTGATCCCAATTGGTCATTCTTTTGTCTCCAGATGAAATTGAGACAGATTCGGGTTGCGGAAGAGATCTGAGAGGTGTTGATGGAGCTTTGAAGTCTGTGTTCGTATTTTACTTCGTTATTGTCTTTCTCAGATGTTTTTGAACTTAACTGATTTTCCAGATGTTTTTGCAGCTGTGCACCCCAAATGGTTTAGGACAGTGTTTCTCAATGGGGGCGATATGGCCCCCATGTGGGCGTTTTTCTATGTTGAGGGGGCGATTAGTAACAATTTATATTTTGGGGGGTGAAAAACAATTTTCTGGGCGATATAGTAAAACATTATATTAAGAATAATTAGATATTTTATTCGTTATATTGTACAATAATTAAACAAATAACATTATACTAGTCACTAGTCTATTCGATGCAGTACAAATTTGGCATTAGCCTTGGCCTTGGGCATTGGAATTTTGAAGTGAAGGGAGCAACAATTCGTTAGAGTTTGAGAAACACTGGTTTAGGACCTATGTGACATAACAGATGTCCTTTTGGTCATTAGCCCCCTTTTCCTTGATTGTTTACA